AACAATAAAGACACACATTACAAACATCCCAATCTTTTATTTATTATTGTTAAATAATACTTATATAAATAATAATAATACTAATATAAATCTATAAAATATAAAACAAATCATATTTTTATTAAACTTTTTAGTTATAGTTAACATGACATATGCAAGCCAACAACTAAGATGTTATCTTATCGCCATAATACAAAATATCTAAATACGAAATAAATCATGTACAATATTGGAAAAAATATTTTTCTGAGCATTTTATTTAATGAGACAAATGTGTGTAGGTACCTATCAAAATAAAACATGCAATAACAACAAGTCAACAACAAACGCTCGTCGAACCCCGATTCCTATTATAGTATTATTCTATAATATGTATACAATGTTGTAAATATTCCATTCTCAGAAAACAAAATATTAGACATAAGTTATTAATTATTAGTAGTTATTGCTATACACACTATTGTGCATGATAAACAATATGTATAGTCAATGTTATTATCCAATTTAACAATGAGTGTGCATATGAATAATATTAAGTATAAATAGACCTGATATCTGTATGCTTGTATACTTTTGATTTTTTTTTTTAAATTTATTTAAAATYGATTTGATTATGTAATGATTTCGATTTCGATATAAAATATCGATTTTAACTTTTTTCAATTTTAATAGAAATTTTGAAAATCATTAAAAAGCATTCACATTTTGAAATTGATATCAAGCCCTGATTTTTAAACTTGTCATTGATTATGACCATATTCATTAACCCCCTCCCCCTCCAAAAAATAAAATAAAAAAATAAACAAAATGTGCATTACATTAAAAATGGCAAAAAGTTTTACCAAAAATGTTAAGAATTAAATTTTTACTTTCATAAAACGAATTTAAAACTAAAAACAAATCTAAGCAGTAGTAAAAAAAGTTGAGGGTGCAAAAACATCCAATCCCTAATTTTAATTATTGTACCATGTGGTGTATTTATTTACTCATATATTTTGTAACTATATCATAATGTCACATACAACTTTATGAGTTTGAATTTGGAGATTTATATTATAACTAAATACCTACCAAACTTTCTGAAAAATAAAAATCATCTTATTTACATTTKATATCTTAATTTTTAGCAGAGTATTTTAACCTGATAAATAACCATAACCAAGTCAATTCAGTTATCATATTTTGACTCATGTAAATCACTGAACAAATATTTTATCAGTTTGTTTAAAAGAGTTGTATTCAGTATTTATAAGATATACTGTTGTATACATATTATATAGTAATCAGTATTAATACCTAGTATTAATTTAAATTAAGTGAATTTACCAGGCTTTTAGAATATTCATCATTTTTAATAAGAAATTTTTGTGAATATTTTTTTTTAGTCTGATATTACCAAATTTGACGATCACACGATTATCATTAAAACCTTAAGTAAACCTACATCTAATCATCTTACTCTAGTCAAAGATAAGATAGATACGTTACAAAAAGTATTTCAGTATGCTGTACATAAATATACTGATTCATATTGCCTGGGTACTAGAGATGTACTTGCTGAAGAAGATGAAGTGCAACAAAATGGAAGAATTTTCAAAAAAGTAAGTATCTATTTACATAAAATTATGATACTCAAATTTTGAATTATACCTTAATGTACGATAAAAAATAAAAAATGGGTGGAATTTATGAAGTACAATTTTAAAATTATAAGTGACATATTCAATTTTTCATATGGAATATGTTAAWAATAAAGTGGTTTTTGGGATGTTAACTATTTAATATTTATTTAGAATTGCATCTTTGATTTTAAATATTTTAGGGACTTTAATTTTGATGAACCAAGAAGTACTCTTATATTACATATAGTACTAAACTAGCTCAAATCAATAATTTCTTAATTTACAATTATATATATTAATAACTAACCTTATTTTGCATGATTTTGTTGACTTTTGAGATAATCAGATAATAACATAATATTATCAAAACTGAGCGTTTAATTAGCAATTTTTAAAATTATAACATAATATGTTGTTAAAATAGAGTTAAAGTATTTATTTATATTATTAAAAGGTTGATTTTTAGATAAAATGCAGTTAAAATTATGTTATAGTGTTTTTTAGATTTTCTAAATTTAAAAATTGGTTTTAATCATTTTTTTTAGTATGTCATGGGAGATTATAGATGGATGACATTTACAGAAGTGGACAAGGCATCTGATAATTTTGGAAATGCTTTAGTCTCTCTCGATCAAAAACCTAAAGAAAATATAGCAATATTTGCTGAAACAAGGGCTGAATGGATGATATCTGTTCAAGGTTGTTTCAAACAAAATATACCTGGTGAGTTAACACTTAAGTTAGCAAAAAATTTTGTTAATGCTGGGTAAAATTTATATATGTATGTAAATTATCTATTATAATACTATTTATATTTTATGATTGACATAATAATATATTTCTACAACATAGTTGTAACATTATATGCGACCCTTGGAGAAGATGCAATAGCACATGGTATAAATGAAACTGAGGTGACAATTGTTATTACTTCACATGATCTGTTACCAAAATTTAAAAAAATTTTACAACTTACTCCTCGAGTTAAAACATTGATATACATGGAAGATCAATTAGCTGAGACAAACACTAGTGGCTACAAAGAAGGAGTTGAAATAATATCATTTAAATCTATTTTGAAAAGAGGGTCAGAATACACAGTTACAGGTTAGATTTTAAATATATTTTTATTTTTTAATAAAAAATATTTAATTTTTTAATTGGTATTGTAGAAAAACATTTACCAATAAAAAGTGATATTGCAATAATCATGTACACTAGTGGATCAACTGGCGTTCCTAAAGGAGTTAATTTAACACATACTAATCTTATATCCACGCTCAAAGCTTTTACTGATGCTATTGATATAGATTACAAGAAAGACGTATTTATGGGATATTTACCATTAGCGCATGTATTTGAATTGCTTGGAGGTAATTATAATTAATTTATTTGACATATTTTTATTTATTTATGTATATTCTAATTCTAAATTGCATGAATGAACATTAAACATTTAATGAATTTACTATTAAATGATCCCTTAAACATRGTTTAGCATCACATGCCAATCTATTAAATTTCTTTGAATTTTTAAATTCATAAATCTTTTATGTGATATGATGTGATATAAAAGTTGTACATGAAGTATTATAGCATTTAATGCTTTTTCATTTACAGCTGGC